CTGCTCCACCTTCCACCTTGATCTACCATTAACAGTCTGTATCACAAACATTATTTTTCTAATGTTGCTGACTCGCCACCCAGAGGCCAGATTGAACCTCAGGGCCTGCTGCACTGTATTTTACAAAACAAATTCAAAGTGGCTGCCAACATTTAATTCTCGGAGATTTCAGGGGAAGGAAGACCAGCACCTGGGCCCGCGTCACCCCGCACCGCCATCACCCCACACTGCTGTGCCAGAGACAAGCAGCCTCCCCAGGTCCCCCCCACCCACGAGGGAGAAAGGAAAGGAAAGGAAAGGAAAGGAAAGGAATGCGCTCGCCCTTCCCCGGGCATGCCCAGGTGCGCTGGCCCGCAGCCTAGCCAACGTAGGTGGTCGGTAGGGATTTCTGGAATTAATACCACAGGCTGCACTCCATACGCGACCACGAGCAAGCGCTCAGCAACGTGCCAGCATTCAGGACCAAGCTGCCCGTCCCAGGCAGCCCCGGGGTGTGTGTGTGGAGGGGGCGGGGGGTGTTCAGGAGCCTGCACCGCTGGGAGCTGTCCTGGGCACTGGAATGGTTCCGGTTCTGCTTTGTGGCTTGAAATGGACCAATAATGTGGCATCAGGAGTTTGTCTAAGCTCCTTTGTGTGTCTGATCCAGCTGAGGGGGTGGAATGTGTTCCCACTTACCCAGCAGGAGCGCCCGGCCAGTCCCCACCAGCGCGGACTGTCCCAGCGCACTCCCCCCGCGCCTGGGCGGGAAGCAGGGCCTCTGCCTGCACACCCGCTTCCCTCGCTTCAGGGGGTCCAATTCCACCCTCTAGTGTTTTCCACGGTAGCGTGTCACCTGTCCTGCTGCGGCTTTTTAAACACGTTTCTTTAAATCAATTCAAATGTGTTTACTGAAGTGTATTTTTAAAGGAAATATTACCCAGGACCACAACCCCCCATCTCCAACTCTGAAGTCCAAGGAAGTCTGCAAATGGAAAGTTTTTTCTAAAATTTAACACGAACTTACTTGCCAGCTGAGCCTGGCCTGAACGGATGTGAAGCCGTTTAGAGTCTCTATCTCAGTTAGTGTGGCTGGCCAGAGATACCAGTTTCCCAGCAGAAATACCAATGCGTGTGCTTACTGCTGCTTCCCCAGGTACTGCTGGGGCTGTGAAGTCACATATGTACAGTCAAAGTGATCTTTCTAAAATCTAGAAAATTCTGAATTCTAAAATACACCTGTCCCCAAGGGTTTGGGATAAGGGAATGTGAACCTGTCATGTCATTATAAACAGAAAGTCGGTGCCATTTGCTATGAAGAGAATACAACTTTAAAAAATACAACTAGCTCGGCCAGTGTCGCTCGGCAGTGGGGCATCGACCTATGAACCAGGAGGTCACAGTTCATTCCCAGTCGGGGCACATGCCTGGGTAGTGGGCTCCATCCCCAGTAGGGAGCATGCAGGAGGCAGCCAATCCATGATTCTCTCATCACTGATGTTTCTATCTCTCCCTCTCTCTCCCTTCCTCTCTGAAATCAATAAAAAAATATATTTTAAAATAAATAAATACAATTAAAACATAAGTCAAACATTTAAGAAAAACCTCTTTTAAAAAATACTGAAATTATCTTTTGACACGTCCATCGGTGGCATGCAGCTTGCCTCTGGCCCCTGAGCAGAAGCCAGTGGTGCCTGCAGAATGCAAGGCCCGCCATCTGCTTCCTGGTGTGATACGAAATGGGGTCAAGCTTGAG